CTAGGCCAGGTGCGGTGACCTCACACCTGTAATCCCAGTATGATGGGAGGCTGAAGTGGGTGGATCACCTGAGGTCGGGAGTTCAAGACCAGCCTGGCCAACATGGCAAAACCCCATCTCTACTAAAAATACAAAAAAATTAGGCAGGCATGGTGCTGCATTTCCTGTAATCCCAGCTACCTGGGAGGCTGAGGCAAGAGAATTTGCTTGAGCCTGGAAGGTGGAGGTTGCAGTGAGCCAAGATCATGCCACTGCACTCCAGCCTGCACAACAGAGCAAGGCTCCGTCTCACAAAAAAAAAAAAAAAAAATTATATTCCAGCACTTTGGGAGGCCAATGTGGGTGGATCACTTGAGCTTAGAAGTTCAAGACCAGCCGGGCAACATGGTGAAACTCCATCTCTACCAAAAATACAAAAAATTAGGCATGGTGGCATGTACCTGTGGTCCCAGCTACTAGGGAGGCCGAAGTGGGAGGATCACTTGAGTCCCAGAAGTGGAGGCTGCGATGAGCCAAGATTATGCCACTGCCTGGGTGATGAATGAGACCTCATCTCAAACAAAAAGAAAAAAAATTCTAAAATACTTTAGATAGGTAAACAAAATAAAAATTAAAAACATAATGTATAAAAATTAGACCAAATAACAAAAAAGAAAAGAAGCAAAAAAAGAAAAAGAAAAAAAAATTAGATCAAAATTTGTGGAATGCAACAAAAATGGTAATTAGAACAAGGCAGGCATAAAAATCAATTAACCAAGCTATTTACACCTTAAAAAGCTAGAAGAGTATAGGCAAAGTAAACCTGAGTAGATGAAAAGAAATGCAATGGAAAATGAAAACAATAAAAATAATGAAACTAAAACTTAGTTCTCTAAAAAGATCAAGGTGGGTAGACACTGTGTCTCATACCTGTAATCTCAACACACGGGGAGGTTGAGGCGGGCAGACTGCCTGAGCCCATTTGTTTGAGACCAGCCTAGGCAACATGACAAAACCCTGTCTCTACAAAAATACACAAAAAATTAGCCAGGCATAATGGCGCACGCCTGTGGTCCCAGCTACTTGGCAGGCTGAGGTGGGAGACCTGCTTGAGCTTGGCAGGTGGAGGCTGCAGTGAGCCCGTGCACGCCACTGCACTCCAGCCTGGGTGACAGAGTGAGACCCTGTGTCAAAAAAAAAAAAGGATCAACAAAATGAGAGAAACATAAATTACCAATATCAGGACTGAAAGAGGGGTCATCATCACAGACATTACAACATCAGAACGTTAACGCAAAATTACTATTAGTATTTTTTTTTTGAGACAGAGTTTCACTATTGTCGCCCAGGCTGGAGTACAATGGTGCAATCTCGGCTCACTGCAACCTCCACCTCCCAGGTTCAAGCGATTCTCTTGCCTCAGCCTCCCAAGTAGCTGCGACTACAGGCGTGTACCACCACACCGGCTAATTTTTGACATTTTTAGTAGAGAAGGGGTTTCTCCATGTTGGTCAGGCTGATCTTGAACTCCTGATCTCAGGTGATCTGCCCACCTCGGCCTCCCAAAATGCAGGCATTACAGGCGTGAGCCACCACACCTGGCAATAACGCAAAATTATTAACAACCTGATGTCAAAAAGTCTGACAACTTACATGAAACAAACAAATTTCTTGAAAGACACAGATTACCAAAACTGACTTGGGAAGAAACAGAAAGCCTGAATACTTCCATAACTTTAAAGGAACTAAATGCAGCATCAAACCGTACACTTAAAATGATAACATTTTATTGTATGTAAATTATTCCTTAATAAAGTTAATTTAAAATGTAAAAAAAAAAAAGAAACAGAAGGACAAAACTATAATACATAGTGTCCAGGAATGCACTATGAAACTATTAGAGGCTGGATGCAGTGGCTCACGCCTATAATCCCAGCACATTAAGAGGCCGAGGTGGGCAGATCACCTGAGGTCGGGAGTTCAAGACCAGCCTGACCAACATGGAGAAACTCCATCTCTACTAAAAATATAAAAAATTAGCCAGGCGTGGTAGTGCATGTCTGTAATCCCAGCTACTCAGGAGGCTGAGGTAGAAGAATCCCTTGAACCTGGGAGGCAGAGGTTGCCGAGAGCCAAGATCACACCATTGCACTCCAGCCTGGGCAACAAGAGCGAAACTCCGTCTCAAAAAAATAAACTATTAAAGAAACAAGAAAATAAACACAACAGAAATCTGGATTGTTTATTTGGGAGCAGAAGTAGTTTACAATTTTAACAGGGCGTATGGAAGGCCTTCCAACAGCAGGTACCCACTGCGAGGGGCTAGCTACAAACAGCTTCACTTTACGGAAGTTAATTAAACCATGTTTGTTCTGCGTGGTTTTCTGTAACTGTGCACTACTTTATAACACAAAAATGTTGAAATTTTTTTTTTTTTTTGAGACCAAGTCTCGCTCTGTTGTCCAGGCTGGGGTAGAATGGCACCATCTCGGCTCACTGCAGCCTCAGCCTCCCAGATTCAAGCGACTCTCCCTGACTCAACCTCCTGAGTAGTTGAGATTACAGGCAGCTGCCACCAGGCCCAGCTAAGTTTTTTTGCATTTTTTAGTAGAGATGGATTTCACCATGTTGGTCAGGCTGGTCTCAAATTCCTGACCTTAGGTGATCAACCTGCCTTGGCCTTCCAAAGCCACTGTGCCCAGCCAAAAGGCTAAGCGCTCTCCTTAAAAACTGAAAATCATCCCTTTTTTGTCTCCTTTATTCTTTGAGACAGGGTCTCACACTGGGGCCCAAGTGGTGTGACTGTGGCTCCTGATCCTCCCAGCTCAGCCTCCCCTAGCAGCTGGGACTGCAGCCCACGCCACCACACCCAGCTAGCTTTCTCTATTTTTTGTAGAGATGGGGGTCTCACTTTGTTGCCCAGACTGGTCTCAGATTCCTGGGATCAAGTGATCCTCTCGCCTTGGCCTCCCAAAGTGCTGGAATTGTAGGCATGAGCCACCATGCCCAGAACTGACACTCTTTACCACTCCTCCTGTCACCGTCATCTCCGAAGAGGTTACGTGGCATTTCAGCGTGTTCTCTTTAGTCTAAAGGTAACTCCTCTGAGCTAATGCCACGATCTCTTTGGAGGGTATACAATACCTTTGGCAGGGAGGGTGTCAGTGGGAGAATGCTTTAAATAAAGTATCTCAAAGAACTTCAAGTTAAATGACATGTCTATTTAACAAATCTGGCCACATATTTTAACAATGAATATGCACAAAGGAACTACATACTGACACAGATAATAACAGACAAGTACACAAAAATCTAGCTACTTAAAGAGTGGTTTTGACCGGCCCGTCGTCAACACGCTCACCACCCTCCTGTCCCTAGTGGGGCAGCGCACACCATGGCCAGGAGGACAGGTGCTGCAGTCAGACTCCGGGTGTAGGCCCCGTCCACACCACAGCAGCTCTCAAGCCTGGCCAGGTCCCTGTGACACTGAAAATGCCCCTGACGATGGCAATCCCTCCAAGGCAGCTGCGAGGAGGAACTGACAACAGGCACACAGCAGTAAGAACCAAAGCACCACCCAGCACGTGGTGTGCATTCACTCAGGGTCAGCGTCCATCAGTGTTTCTATATCCAGGATACAGGATATTGGTATCTGCTCTCTTGGGAAAAAGAGGGGAAAGCCTCTTACCCTCCTTTATGCTTCTTTTTCTTTGGTGTGTCTTCCTCTGACGTCCTCCTGCCTCGGCCCCGGGACCCTCTTTTCTCTTTCTGACCCCGGCCTTCTGAAAAATAAGACGCAAATACTTATATAGAATTCTCTAAAGCAAGACAAGTTTTGTGTTTTGTTTTTAAGATGAGGTCCCACTTTGTCTCCCAAGCTGACTGGAGTGCCCTGGAGCAATCATAGCTCACTACAGCATCGACCGACCTCCCAGGCTCAAGCGATCCACCCACCTCAGCCTCCCGAGTGGCTGGGACCACAGGTGTGCACCACCACACCCGGCTAATTTTTAAACTTTTTGTAGAGATGAGGTCTCGCTATGTTGCCCAGGTTGGTCTTGAACTCCTGGCCTCAAGCAATCCTCCTGTCTCGGCTTCCCAAAGTGCTGGGGTTATAGGCATGAGCCACTGTGCCCAGACTGCAAGACAAGGTTTACCCAAATATGATACTTACCATCACGATCCTATGTTAGCGATTCACTACAATGACAAAACTCTTCACAACTCCACAGTTAACAGTAATAGAGAAAAAATGAACAGACTTGCTTTTTAGTCCTCGCCCTCCGGAGCCTTCGAAGTCACTGCCCTCCATCTTGTCCTTCAGATCAGCTTCGAAGCGTGCCAGGTCTGCATCAAGCCTTCGAATGTGTTTATCCACCTACAAAAGGACACACACAGTCTCATTTTAAAGTAAAGCAAGACACCTCAGAAACCACAAACGCACAGAGTATCCACCAGGCTCGCTCTTTAACTGAGCCTTCGATGAACAAGGCCCACTCTTTCAAAGTCCATCCAAGGGTCTTGTGCTCTTTGTGCATATTTTGAAACTGCGATGGAATAAATCCCATTTAAGGAAAAAATGTGAGTGTAGGCAGGAATGAGAAGAAATGTTATGAAACGTGGTGGAACAAGGGCTGGGACATCCGACACTGAATCTTACCTTAAAATATGGCCACCTAGAGGCCAGGCGCAGCAGCTCACACCTGTAATCCCACACTTTGGGAGGTGGAGGCAGGCAGATCACCTGAGGTCAGGAGTTCAAGACCAGCCTGACCAACATGATAAAATCCTGTCTCTACTAAAAATACAAAATTTTGGCCAGGTGTAGTGGCTCACACCTGTAGTACCAGCACTCTGGGAGGCCAAGGCAGGTGGATCATTTGAGGCCAGAAGTTCGAGACCAGCCTGGCCAACATAGCAAAACTCCATCTATTAAAAATACAAAAACTAGCCTGTTGGTAGTGGTGCGTGACTGTAATCCCAGCTACTTTGGAGGCTGAGGCAGGAGAATCGCTTGAGCCTGGGAGGCAGAGGTTGCAGTGAGCCAAGATCGTGCCATTGCACTCCAGCCTGGGCAACAAGAGCAAAAGTACATCTCAAAATAATAATAATAAATATGGCCACTTGAAGGCTGGGCACAGTGGCTCATGCTTGTAATCCAGCACTTTGAGAGGCTGAGGTGGGCGGATCACTTGAAGTTAGGAGTTTGAGACCAGCCTGGTCAACAG